TAGATGGAATCTGAAGAAACCATTTAATGATAATCGACACAGAAAATTTAATAAGCCCAAACAGATCAGTTATCGATGGTAAAAAAAAATGCAAAGATAACAACCAAACCCATTCATGTTCTGTCAGACATGTCAGAACAGAGAGGACATGTATGTGCTAATTGTTCAGCGCCTGGGAAGAGGCCCTCATATCTTGCCAGAGACTTCAAAAGTGTCTAGATACCAAAGGAGAAGACAGGGAGGGAAAGTTGGATTTTATTATTCCTTCTCGGAAGACAAGTCTGTGTGTTGTCCTCACTGGGACATAGATTTCTAGATTCCAAGCATAGCAAAAGCAACAAATTCATTTACCTGTTGGAACTATAGTGAACAAACAAAGAAAAAAAAATCAGTTTATAGCAGTATATCTTGGAGCAGGGAAGTTTAATCAAATGGCTCCTGACTCCAGCTTTCTGTCACTGTGGATGCTGGGGGTCAGCATGGACTGTTGAAGTAACTGGGGTCTTGATCCCTGACTGGGAAACCTCAGCTGGGTTCCCGTCTTCTGACTCCAGCGTGAATTAGCCTCAGTCATGACCAGCATTTGGGGGAATGAACAAGCAGATAAGTACGATCCCTCTCATTCCCTCTCACATTAGTATATATGTGAAGCTTTATATATATATATATACACACACACATATATATAATTTGAACACTTTAAAATGAAACCAAACATTATTGGTTCTATTTATTTACTTATTTGAGACGTAGAGATCTCTCTTCTGGTAATTCAGTCCTTGAATGCCTGCAGTGTCTGGGGCTGGAACAGAATCCTAGGAGACGAGAACCCACTCACTTGATCTGTCTCCATTGCCTCCAAGGATCTGCATTGGCAGGAGTTTGGAGTCAAGAGCTGAACCCAGGAATTGAGCTCAGGTGTTCCAGTGTGAGATGAGGGTACTTCAGTAGTTCAGGTAAATGAAAACTTAGGGGATGAAAATAAAAGGGAAAAAATGAAAACCTCTTGGAATCCCACTGCTGGTCCCATTCTGCTGGTAACATTGAATGTTTTCTGAGAGTGACTGTGTGGTGTATGTATTTTTCCAAATCTGTGACTAAATCACAAACATGTTTGTAGCCTGTTTTCCGCTTCACTACCGAGATGCCTGAACGGCTTTGCATCTTGTTAGGTATTCATGAAGCCATCACATTTTTTCTGTCTCGTCATTTATGTAACTGAATTCTTTTTGTTAGAACTGTTGATTCCACTTTTTTAATAGAATGAATTATTCATGAAAAAAATCTGCAATACAAAGCGATTTATTATATATTTCCAAAGAAAATAAAATTAAACTGTGATTTCAAAGTTGTTTAGTCAGAATAAGTATATGATGCTTTTTTCAGGTCTTTTTAGGGAAAGGGGAAGATTTCCTAGCAAATATTTCTTCAAGGTTTATCTAAGGATTCTTTAGGATATATGTTGCAGAAACCCCAACAGAATGGAATGTAGCACAAAGGGAATCTATGGATAAATGTTTGAGTTTCCTGTTGCCCAAGGAAAAACATCAGTGACACACTAAGAAGTATCTGCCTAGTTCATGACTGTGTGGTCCTCAGCTAGGCTCATGGCTCTGTCCATACCAGCTGGTTGACTGGAAGATTTTGCTAATCTTGGCTGGACTTGCTCACCTGTCTTGGGATTTGTTGGTTATTGGCTGAAATGACTTAGATTGATTTTTAATTTTCCTTTTTATTATTTTTTTGTCTGTTTTCCAATGGGATAGGCTGGTCATGCTCTAAATGACTACAAAGGAGGAAAATGAGTAATAGAATAAATGCAGGTGCACTCCAGACCTCTGCTTTCTGCACATTTTGTGGCACTTGTTGGCTAGAGTTGGTCATATGACTCAACCTGGAATTGTGTTGGGAGAGCACTGCCATTAAAGCAGTGCACGTGCCTGGAATTAGGTGACCTGGGATTAGAGTGATTGCTGGATCCAGAGAATCCACTTGGTTTCAGAATTTAGCTCTGCTTCCCTTTGCCCCAGATTCACTCTTAAGGGGAGCCTGTCTTACATGGTAGTTCTCAGAACTGCATCTTCAAAGCAAGTAATTCCTGCTGCAATGGAGTTTAATATTTTATTATTTTTAATTTTTATAAAATTAGTAGATTCCATATTGTTCACAAAACAGATTTAGAAGCATGGGAGTTCTTCCCCTACCCCTTTCCTTATCTTCCCCTCTTATTTTTCCCCCAAATTATTATGATAGCATATTCATTCATTTCACTGTAACAAGCTTAACTTTCCCCTATGTAGAGGTATCATGACATAGCATGGAGAAGAGAAAGAAAGAAAAATTAAAATAACATAAAAATAAATAAAAATATAAATCTTACTGTTACTCGGGAGTACAGATAGATGCATGCTGTGGATAGCAATTAATTCCCAGGATGCTAATCTCACATTATAGACAGATTATATTTTTTGTGTTCTATGTGTTAATTGTCACAGATCAGAAAGAACAGTGCTTCTTTTTTTTTTTTTTTTTGGATGGGGGAACTGGCTTATTTCACTAAGCATAACAGTTTGAGCTGGATCCATTCTGTTGCAAATGATAATATTTCATTCTTATGACTGTATAGTATATATGTACCATATTTTTTTATGCAATCATCTTTTGATGGGCGTCTGGGTTGGTTCCATATCTTTCAGTCGTGAATTGTGCTGATGTAAACATGGGGTTACAGGTAACCCTTTCATATATAGATTTCATTTCTTTTGGATATATTCCCAGGACTGGGATGGCTAGATTGTATGATAGATCATTCAGATATCTGAGGAATCTCCATACTGTATCCCATAAGGAGTTTATCTTTCTTAGTGGCTCCAGCTAAAGTCATGGTGTGGAGTTAAGTCACATGCCAGCCCTAAAGCAGCCTCTGTATCTGGAGAATGGAGTGTGATGCCTGGAGGCATATTCTTGCTAACTGGCAGTATCCAGGATGGAGCCACAGGAATGACACTTCGTTAAAGCTTTTGAATTGCTAGGAAAGACTTGGGAGCAATTTCTCCAAGGAAAATAGAGATAATATTACCAGAAAGTGTGTGTGTGTGTGTGTGTGTGTGTGTGTGTGTGTGTGTGTGTGTGTGTGTGTGTGTGAGTATGTGAGTGAGTATGTGTCAGTGGCATGGGTGTTTGAGTGAGAGGAAGGATTAATGATAGGCAAGTCAAAATAAAAGGTGCCCGGTACTTTGATGTTAATGTATTTACATCATTGAGACGCTATCAGTGAAAACTAGTTTTTTTTGACTATTCTGTGCTAGATACCAAGCTCTATGTTTTATAGACATATCTTAGAATACTGTGGATTGGGTGGTATTGCTTCGCATTTTAACAATTTGGGAGCGGAATTTCCTGACACCTAAAGAATTATCTGAGATTGCTCAGCTTGTTAGTGGTAAGAGTGGATGCTTCAACTCCAGTTGTCCCTCTCAGTTTATTCTTTCATGGTCACAAAGATGAAGAGAATATACTAGAAACTCCAGAAGGAAAAGAACAGTAGGCAATATACAGCCAACTAAAGTCATTCAGATCCCAATATTTAAGGACTAATCCCAACCCTATAGCCCCAGATACACAAAATTCCCACTAATAAACTTGAATGATCATAAAAAGGACCTACTACTTTTCTGTGAGGGTTATGGGACAAGGAACTCTAAAATGGTATACTTTCCTTTATGCCATTTCTGTATAAATGTGAAGTGGTTAATATGAATATGTGTGTGTGTGTGTGTGTGTGTATATATATATATATATAAAGATTTTTTTATTTTTATTGGGAAGTCAGATATACAGAGAGTAGGAGAGACAGAGAGGAAATCTTTCATCTGCTGATTCACTCACTAAGTGGCTGCAATGACTAGAGCTGAGCCAATCCAAAGCCAGGAGCCAGGAGCTTCTTCCTGGTCTCCCACGTGGGCTCAGGCTCCCAAGTTTTTGGGCTGTCATTGACTGCTTTCCCAGGCCAAAGCAGGGAGCTGGATGGGAAGTGGGGTGACTGGGACATGAACTGCACCCATGTGAGATCCCAGTGCCTACAAGGTGAGGACTTTAGCCGCTGGGCTACTGTGCTAGGCCCAGCAAAAACATTCTTAAAAGTCCTGGAAAATGCGTGTGAATGTGAACGAAGACAAGGCTATTGTTTTCTCTAGTGACAGTATTGAGGATATGGCTGTATATGTTAGTGTCTCATTGACTGAGCCACCTCCTGTAGCTTCAACATAGCTAATAGGTTTCAACTCAAGTGACAGTGACAATTGATTAGCAGTAAAGCAGTTGTAGTGTTATTTGTACAACAGTTCTGTACCTACTGGGAAAGAACATTATGGTAGATTAGGGATGTTTATTACGGGTACTGGAGGGGAAGGTAATACAAGCTTTCCAAATACTTACATTCTACATCCTGGGAACAGCAACTTCTCAGAGTATCTGTCAGGCTATGTGTGTATGGGTTCATATACCTGATGATGGATTATTCTATTAAGATGTCCATGATGGGGAATCAGTGGTGAATTTTTTGGTGATCCAAACTGTAGCTTAGCACAATTCAAAATCAATAACTTTATTTTCCTGAAAGAAGAGCCTCTTTTTGTTCAGAAATTTTGACCTTGCTTAGGAGAACAGTGGAGGAATTTATAAAATTGTGCAAGTGGTAGGTAGAGTTTTGGGGTTATTTTTCCTTTTATGTGAATGTCATAGGTGGAACTATCCTTTGTCTATCATTATAATCATACATATATATCAGTTTTAAAATGTTATGCAATTGTAGTCAGAATTCTAAAGAAATTCATTTTTACTTACTTTTCTCGTTTGCAGATCTCTGATTGGAGTCACGTTCTGGTACAGACTACAAAAACGATGCATTGAAAATTCTGGCCAACAGTGAAAATATTGACTTAAACTCCAACTCAGTATAGCATTTCTTCTCTTGAGTAGTAACTTAAAATACAAGAAAAATGTATGGGAGTGCAAGAACAATCACCAACCTGGACGGTAGTCCTGCCAGGTCTCCTCGTTTGCCAAGGTCACCTCGTTTGGGTCATCGAAGAACAAGTAGTGGAGGAGGTGGAGGAACAGGCAAGACCCTGTCAATGGAAAACATCCAGTCACTTAACGCAGCCTATGCTACATCTGGACCGATGTATCTGAGCGATCATGAGGGAGTGGCGTCAACAACTTACCCAAAGGGCACCATGACTCTGGGCAGGGCCACCAATCGAGCTGTATATGGAGGTCGAGTCACAGCCATGGGGAGTAGCCCCAATATTGCTTCTGCGGGACTCTCCCACACTGATGTGCTTTCGTACACAGATCAACACGGTGGTCTGACCAGCTCATCCCATCATCACCACCACCAGGTCCCCTCTATGTTAAGGCAGGTAAGAGATAGCACAATGTTAGATCTTCAAGCCCAACTCAAGGAGCTCCAGAGAGAAAATGACCTCCTCCGGAAAGAGCTGGACATCAAGGACAGCAAGTTGGGATCATCCATGAACAGCATCAAGACTTTCTGGAGCCCTGAGCTGAAGAAAGAGCGAGTCTTGAGGAAAGAAGAGGCAGCTCGGATGTCTGTCCTCAAGGAGCAGATGAGGGTTTCCCATGAGGAAAATCAGGTAGGTTATGACTCACTCTCCATTTTTCAGCCTTGACTTCTGAGTAGTTGATGCCTTGCAGATGGTACTACGACCTGTGCGGAGAGAAAAAACAAACAAAACCAAAAAAAGCAACTTCGGCATCATCAAGAAGCTTAAGGTTTAGAATGTGGTTAACAAGAGAGCGTAAGAAATACAAGGTCACAGCTGATGATTTCCTCATTTTGTAATTGCAGAATTTGGGGAGGGTCACTCACTGTCTAACTTTTGAACTTGGTTAATCTTGTTTTCTTTTTCAGCAGTTGGAACAGCTCAGATGTACTTCCCTCTGAATAGAAGATGAAAATGTTAATCTCTGCAAGCATAAACCCTTTAGAGGGCCAACTTTGACTGCTGAGTTGATTTTTAAGAAAACACCAGTAGAATTCTTTCTTTCTGGAATGAGTAGGGTTTGTTCTTCAAGTACCAAATGAAATAATATGGAGTGGGACTAGGTACAGTGAATTTGATCTCATGCTGGTGACACACACTGCATATTAACTTTGTCTTTCTGCCTTTATCCGTTCAATATTAATTACCTATTTTGGATGCATGTTGCTTTCTTTCTTCCTGCTGACCCATCCTTCGTGTCACAGCAAGGTTAGTTTCTCGGTGTTCACCTGCAGTTATGCCATCACCACGCCTCAATGTCCTCTGCAATGACTCCTTACTTGCTTGACTGAGCCTGTGATACCTTCTGCTGGAAGGCCTGGGCTAACCTTTCCAGCCTTAGGTTGTACCACCTCTCTTCATGCCTGTGCTAACTGCACCAATACTTGGTACTTGCTGTACCTACTGCAGGTGTCCCACCTCAACACCTTTGCTTTTGCTGTTCCAGTGTCCAGGTCGGCTTTTTTGCATTTCCTCCTCTTGCCTCTCCCTGTCCTTCTACTCATTCTCAAGTTTTAAAGCCCATGTATCCTGGCAGGCCCTCTTATATGCTGCTGATTTCATAAAGACTTGGAAGTTTAAATCCAAGTCTCCCTTCTTAGTGATGCTGAGAGAGGAGCTAAGAGATGTAAAGGAGAGGAAGCAGTGTCATTTGGCTTATGAACCCCCAGATATCATTGGACTTTATGTGGAAATGTGACATGAACTCTACTTGGCTTAACTCACGATTCTGCAGTAATTGGCCTTGATGTTGGCTTAATGAGGAGACTTGAGCTTTCTTGGGGTCATGTGCTGACCCTCCTACGTGTTTCCCTGCCTAGGAAACGCCTTTGAGGACTTCTTTAGAGCCTGAGCACCATGGAAGCATTTTGTGATCTGAAAGAAAATCTGCCCCTTGTTCTCCTTTTATGTGCAGAAAGCAATCGCCTTATCCCTTTGCTTGTCTTTTAGAGCCATTGCTGATTTTTAGATGTGGAAATGAGATTTTTTTTTTTCTAAGTTGGAACAGAAAGCTTTGTTTTTCACTCATATATCCAATTTGTGCTCTTCCCAATTATTTCTACCTTTCTCTCTCTTTGCTGATTCATGAAGTCGGTTTGAAGCTTTTACTGCAATGTGCATTTACCTCCTGTTCTGTACTGATTCTTCCTCGTATTCTTTTTTCATGGGGCAGAGATGGTTAAAAACACTTTAGAAATGATGTCACACAAAATTTGGAAGCCAATCTCTATAAACTGTCAGCTCCAAAATGACTTTATCTTAGGCTTCTATTGTATTTATTGCTAAGCATGGACTCTTAATTGTGCATGTCTCTGTATTTATAAATGACACCAGATGCTACAGTGCTAATCTATGATGTGTCTTCTAGGATTTCATGAAGACTTAAATATGGATGGGGTACAGCAAAATGAATCATATCTAGGCAAATTTTAACGATTAAAAAAATCCATGTTTACTTTTACAAAAAAACCACTTTTCCATTTTGTCAGGGTTAGTTTGGTTTACTCTGGATAGTTTCTGTAATTCCACTTGACATTCCCATGTTGCCAGGAGGCAGGAGTGAGTGAATGCGTGTGGAGCTCCTGTTTCCTTCTCAGGTCGGATTCCTACTGTAATCAGGGATGCCTTGGGTATTATCAATGATGCGTGACTGTGTGATATGTGAAAACCTCAACTTTAATCTGTATATTGAATGTTATTAAATGTAATCATTTTTTCTTTTAGGAGAAAGCTGGTAAAAAGAGGAAGAAGCATAGCAAGTTTGTAAAGTTGATTTACTTTTTTTTAAAAAAATATTTTATTATTATTATTTTTTTATCAGAAAGTTAGATATACAGAGAAGAGAGACAGAGAGAAAGATCTTCTGTCTGCTGAATCACTCTCACAATGGCTGGAGCTGAGCTGATCTGAAGTCAGGAACCTGGAACTTCTTCTGAGTCTCCCATGGAGGTGCAGGGTCCCACAGCATTGGGCCTTCCCTAATTGCCTTCCCAGGCCACAAGCAGAGAGCTGGATGGGAAGCAGGGCACTGGGATTAGAACCAGTGTCCATAAGGGATACTGGCACATGCAAGGCAAGAACTTAGCCACTACACTACTGCGCCGGGCCCAAGTCAATTTATTTTTCATATGATATAATATTGTAAAGGATATAAAGATTCACAAGAGCCAAATTATTTTTAAAGAAAATTGATTCACTCTTTCTTCCCCTCTTGCTTTATATTAGGATCCTATTTAGAGATATCTGAATATCTAATGGTCAGAATAGGGTAAATTCTGATTCAGCAAACAACAGATCTCCATGGTCTAACATACCAGAGAGATATTTCTCTCCTTTCATTTTTAATTAAAGATGTCATTATTATTAATTTGAAAGGCAGAGAGGTCAGGACACACAGAGAGATCTGCCTTCTCCTGGTTCACTTTCCAAATGGCTGTACTGACAAGAGCTAGGTTAAGCTCAAGCCAGGAGCCTGGAGTTTCAACAGGTCTTTTGAATGAGCAGCAGAAGCCTAAGCACTTGGGCCCTCTTCTGCTGCTTTCCCAGGAGAGTGGAGTAACTGGTACTGAAGCTGGAACCCAGAAGGGATGGCAATACTGCGGGACTTCACCTGCTATGGTAAAGGGTGGGGCCCATGGATTTTTATTCCCTGGTAGCAGTTTATTTCTTTTCTCTAGATATGTCTCCTGTGCTCTGCGGAAATTCTACCACTTACCATAACTTGTTTTACCTTTAGGGAAAAAAAATCATGGAAAATGTCTCTGTAGAGAAGAGAGGAACACAAAAAAACTCAAAGAGATATTTGATTGTATTTCCTCTGCTACAGCAACCAAAGACCGCATCTACAATTGTAATTTTTCCATGATTGCTAGATAGATAGGCTTTTACCAACATAAATCCAGATGATTTTAAATAATGCAGAATATAAGGGGAGCAGGCCCGTTACAGGGTAGAGGTGAAGAAACTGTAGAGTTTATATTTGGGACTGGCTTTTGGTCTGGTGGATCAGAGCTCTCTATTTGTTTCTCTGTTTCTCAAATAAAGAGACAGAAGGAAAAACATCTTTCATCTGCTGGTTCACTCCCCAAATGGCCACAGTGGCTCGAGCTGGGCCAGTTCGGAATGAGGAGGCAGAATCTTCTTCTGGGTCTCACATATAGGTTCAGGAACCCAAGTACTTGAGCCTTTTTCTGTTGCTTTCCCAGACAGATTGGAAATGATGCAACTGGAACTCCAGTTTGTGCCCATATATGGCATGCTGGATGCCACAGCTTTTCTCACCAGTGTGATGGTCCCAGTAGTTCTATAAATTTAGTGCAAACTAGTGCACCCCTCTTTCCTTAGGCCCAGTGTTGTGGGGGTCCCTCGTTTGTCAGTTTCTTTGCAGTAGACTTTGAAGTCCTCATGGTTTTGAGGGAACTGAATCTAACTGCATGCCTAAGGCAGTGTACTCCACTCTTTTCATGTGTTACAGCTCTGTTAACAACCTTAGGGCCAGTAGGTATATTTTGTGTGTGTGTGAACAGTTGATGCTTGGGTCTTTCGGTAAAAATCTCTCTGCCTTTCCTTCATACACTCCCCAGCCCGCAGCCCAGCTGTCATCAAGACCATGCACCTCAGTGAATACATTGGATGTGAATACATTTGCAGCAGCTAAGGGTTGCAGTCCTGAAACTTGGAGTAATTGGCTTGCATTATGAACCAGAGTGCATGGACACAGACTTATGTTTGTGCCATCCCTTGTGCTTTTGCTTCATGGTATGCTTTTTAGAGGCAATAGAGCAAGGCCCAGTATTTTGGGAGTAACCTTCTGGAATGTCCTGGACTGTTCTATGTTCTCAGTGGCACACCTGTGACAGATGAGGGCTGTTGAGAAAATATTGAGAGAACCTATTTTGCAGCTACTTGAAGCTTCCTTGTTATTTTTAGCAGCCTGGAAGGTAGGGATAGATGTGGCAGAGGGCAGGATGGATGCAACTACAAGGAAATAAAGTGGCCTGATTCTCTGAAAGGATATTGCCGTGTCTTTTTCATTACAACTGCATTCTGTTTGCCTTTGTGATGGAGATCAGACAGATATGACATTTTTTTGAAAAAAATTTTGATCTGTCTTGCATTCTGATGCGTATTCCTAGATATTTTATACAATGATTAACTTTGTGTGGTTTTTTTTTTATGGATTCTTTCCCCCACCCCCAAATTAAGTATAGACAGAGCGATTTTCAGACATTTTTCCTGGGTTGTACATGGCTAGCCAAAGCTCCACATGAGTATAAATAGCATCACACACTAGGAGATTGTACTAGATCTAATATTTACCTGCCCTGTGTATGCAGAAGTGGGACAAGGTCATTGGGAAATGCAACACAAAAGTGTAAGTAAACTTGTCTGGGGGAATGTTATAACTTTTAAATCATGGCTATGTGATAATTTCTATTTCTGGCTTAACCCAATATGAAAGAGTCTGCCCCGACCAGCAGAGCCAGTAACGTGGACACGGAGAGGGTCTGGGGTTGAAGCACCGACAGGAGACCAGTGATGGGGGAAGTCTCTGCAAAGTCTCTCTCTATTGCCCCTTCACCTCTCCTTAT